GTTCTTGGTGAGGGCCCCACTCCTGGTTTGCGGAGGACCCTCTCCTTTGACATTGAGCAGAGAGACAAAAGCAAGCTCTCTCCTGTCCCTACTTATAGAGGCACTGTCCCATGATGAGGACTGCTCTCTTTTGACGTAATTACCTCCCGAAGGCCTCTTCTCCAAATACCATCACTAGACATTCAACTTATGAATTTTTTTTTTGGGGGGGTACACATTTTCATTTCATAATAACTATTGTTAAGATGTCAGTTCTCCCCCCATTAATCTACAGATTCCACACAATGCCAGTCAAAATCCCAGCAGGCTTTTTTTGTTTGTTTGTAGAAATTGACAAAGTGATCTAGTCTAAACAACTTTGAAAGGGAACAGAGTTGGAGGACTTCATACCTGACTTAAAGGTTGTTTTAAGGCTACAGTAATCAAGACCATGTGGTATCAACACAAAGACAAACAGATCACTAAGTAGAATAGAGAGTCCTAGAGTAGATCCACACACATATTGTCCATTGATTTTTGGTAAAGGTGCAAAGGGAATTTAGTGGAAAAAGGGGTTTTTTTTCAACAAATGGTGCTGGAACAATTGGGTAAATGTAGGCAAAAAATGAACTTCAATCTGTACTTGGCAACATATACAAAAAGTAACTTATAGGATCATAGACTTAAATGTAAATACTAAAACTATAAGACTTGCAGAAGAAAACATAGGAGAAAGTCTTTGTGACATTGAGCTAGGCTGTAATTTCTGGAGTATGATATCGAAAGCACAGTCCATAAAAGAATATATTGATAAATGGGACTTTGCTCAATTTAATAAATTTTGTTCTTTGAAAGATACTGATAATAGAACAGAAAGAGAGTCCACAGACTGGGAGAAGATATCTGCATGTCACATACCTGATAAGGTGGTTGTGTCAGAATATGTAAAGAACTTGGGCCGACCCTGTGGCTCACTTGGGAGAGTGCAGTGCTGGGAGCGCGGGTTCAGATCCTATATAGGGATGGCCGGTGCGCTCACTGGCTGAGCACGGTGCGGGTGACACCAAGCCAAGGGTTACGATCCCCTTACCGGTCACACACACACACGCACACACACACGCACACACAAAAAAGTAAAGAACTTGTCAAACTAAGTAATAAGAAAACAACCCAATAAACAATGAGCAAGGGATTTAAGGAGACACTTTGCCAAAAAAGACATAAATGAATGGCAGATAAGCTTGTGAACAGATGTTCACATCATTATTTACTAGAGAAATGCTGATTAAAACAGCAGAGAGATGCCACATGCACCTGATAGAATGGCTAAAGCTAAAAACTGCTCATGTGAGAATGTGGATGAACTTGAACTCTGCTAGTGGGTATGTAAAATACAGCCACTTTAGAAAACATTTTGGCAGTTTCTTGAAATGTTGAACATACACCTCCAATATGACCAAGTCATTCCATGCCTACATTTTTACCCAAAAGAAATGGTAGCATATGTCCATACAAAGGCTTGTACGTGAGTCTTTATAACAGCTTTATTTTTAAAAGCCACAGATTAGGAACAACCCAGGTATCCATTTGCAGGTGAATGGATGCAATCCAGTAATGATTTGGTTTGATCCATGCTACTGATTGCATCACGGTGTTGGAGAAAATCTTAAAATAATTGCACTGGGTAACAGAATCCAGACAAAAACAAGAGCATGTATTGTACAATCCGTTTATATAACATTCTGGAAAATAATCTTTTCTAAAGTGCAGGGTCAGTAGCTGACTGGGGATGGGGGTGGGGAGGGGAGTGACAGGAATCAGGGATTATAAAGGGTATGAGAAAACTTGGGGGTGATGGATATATTCATTAGCATGCAAAACTTATCCAATTGTACGCTTTATGTATAATTTTTAAAATGACAGTTACAGGTCAAAAATTAATTGTGATGGTGTCACTGGTGCATTCTTATTTCAAAACTTATCCAATTGTACGCTTTATGTATAATTTTTAAAATGACAGTTACAGGTCAAAAAAGCTGTTAAAATTAATATTTTTTTATTTTTCGTATATGTTGTAATTTTCTTCATTTTGTACTAACAATTGAGAATTAAGTGTAAGACTGCTCCCTTCGTTTGGCCTGTGAGTTTTTTCCGAGAGGGTGTTTACTTGTTAACATAAATGTTCTATAGAATATTCTATATAGCTATATAGAATTTAATATTGTTCATATATGCAACTCTTATTTATTGACTCCTTGGCCTTAAGATAGGTATTGGGGAATCAAAAATGAGGAAGAAAATGTATGCATGCCTTGTGGAACTTAGATCTAGAGATTTATAGTGCAAAAATTGGAGGTATTGGCAAAGAATACGAGAAGTTTAGGGAGTGGTGGAATTTATGTTGCCTAAAAAAATTGCAGCATATTAGAAAGTGGCTTCGCCATGTTCTAGCTGTGGGACAAGGGCATGTTTCTGAACTTGAAGGCCATCTGTAAGATGGAGAACCTACTTTGTCATGAAGGGTTAGGGTAGAACCCTAAATTTCCAGAACAGTACCTGCTATGTCAGGTACTTGCCAAATAGTAGATAGTGTTTTTTTATAGATTTCTGAAGGGACTGTGAGATATTTAGTTATATTAAAACTGTTTTGTGTAAACTGAGTATAGTACTTGACATGCTGATCTTTATCTTTTGTAACACAAATGATTTAGAACTGGCATTTTTAAATTTTCCACCATGGCTAGACAAAGCGACATATTTTTTGGTTCTCCAATTATTGTTAAAGAATAATAACTTATTGTGTAATAATTTACATAATACCAGTTATTGTTATAGCTCATATATCTGGAAGTAACTTACTTGGAAACCATAAAGAAGATAAACAGCTGTTGAGCAGTCAAAATAGAGGCCAAAGACCATGCACAGAAGTTTATGATCTGGAGCTGTATATGTTATTTCATAAAAGTTTATGTATATGGTATCTTTACTCATAACCTGTTGGGGGAGGGGAGAGATTGTTGCTGAAACATGCAGATTTCTAGTAATAAAAAGCAGGAGCTGATACATCTGGCAGAAAGGGAGATGGAAGGAAAAACTAGAAAGTGAGCATGGGGACTCAAAAAGGATGGTAGTTTGAAGTGGGAGCTAATAGCACTCTGTACTATAGCTAATAGTGCTCTGGTGATGTAACTGTTGATAAAGGCTAAAAATCATTACATGCTTATTTTATGCTGGTTTTGTATGTGTATTTCATTTAATACCTAACAACAGTTGTAGACATACCATTAGCTTCATTTTTAGATGAAGAACCTGTGACTTAGCAAGGTTGTCATATGGAAGTGCAGACAGGACACAAACACAGGTCTGTCTGACACTCAAGTGCATTTAGTTGTCATTCTGTATGCTCTTCTTGGTTATTACCACAGTAAAATAATTGATTCTAATCGTAACCCCTTTGAATAAAGGGTTAAAATGTTTAGCTTTTTTTTAAAGGCCAAAGTATTTTAAAACAATTTTTATTTTAAAAAGTTCAAATTACAGTTTTTCCACTAAAAAGATTAGTTAAGATATTGTTTTCTAAAAAATGTTGTAAACATTTTATTTTCTTCAAAGGTAAATATGTATTGTAACTTCATTAAATCTATGTAGATTTTTGAATAAGAAACTGTAAATTGATTTTATTAATTACTTTACCCTTACCTACTAAAGGAAGTGAGTCTCTAGCTAACCTGTACAAGTGCTTAATTAATTCTTTTTGTTTATCACTCCATGCTATGCCAAAAAGGATTAGGTCAGTTACGAAACGTGTATTCATTTGTAACTGAAGGAGCTGGAGAATAGTTTTCATTGGCTCAGCATGTTCACTGAGAGCTCACATGTAGTCTCTGCACGCCTGCAGTGCAGGCAGTGAGTGCTGTGAGGCAGTGGCATTGTGTGTGTTCATCACTGTATCTCCAGTGCTTTGAACACTGCCTGTAAATAAAGGTATCAAAACAATGTCAGTTGCTCATTTTTAAAAAAGTCGAATTATAATTGCATATAGTGCATTGAATTTATACTTAGTATAAGTTTAATTTTGACTCTTGATTTTAAAAGTTTTTGCAAAGGTTGTAGCCATCATTTTGAAACTCAGTTTTGAGTTCTAGTGTTTTACCTATAGAAAATATGAGATGTTGGGCCAAATACTCTCCCAATGGCATACCTAATGGTCTTTTTCTAAATCTATTCTTATTTTAGTTACCATTTATTGTGGTTTTATAAAAGAACGCAGAATGTGCCAAAAAGGGAAAAGGTCATGTGAGTTTGCTTGCCTTGGTTACTTTTTCTTTCTCACTTGGAATTGTTTACTAAAACTTTTGTAATGGAGTGGTTTTTAAAAATCCCAGGAATTACAGTCTGCTCTGTCATTTGCAGGCTGTGCAACCTTTGCAAATTACAGAATCAGTCTGTGCCTCTGTCATATTGGGCTAATAATGTTCCCTGCCTCATGGGATTGCTGGGATGAGTAAATGAGTTTGTATAATATCAGTAAATCACTTAGAATAGTGCTTGACACATAAGGGCTCATTAAATGCTAATTATTATTTTTCAGGTTTTTATGAGGCTTAAATTAAATGGGATAATACATGTAAAATGCTTAGTAGAGTATCTGGCATTTATTAAGTGCTCAATAAATGGTAGTGGCTCTAATTTAAATATTCTGGTGCCTGTAAGTCTAAAGAGGCTGTGTCTTTGGATCTCTGTGCATGTCATATCTTCAACAAATTTATTTTAGTGCATGAGAGAAAATCATTAGTTTCTATATTGGCTTTTCCCTATAGGTCCAAATCACAAAGTTAAAAAAATCTAAACACATATGTAATTATTTTCTGATTTCTAAGTTTAGGTCATTTGTTATTTCAAGTTCATGTTTATTTTTGCTATAAAAGTATAGATCTTGGTTAACAGCACAACTTAGTGAACTTTGAAAACGCTGTCAACATCTAACTTGTATTTCCCTTTTTTTGCTATCCTCCTCATAGGTTTGTGGAATCTTGCTTCCCTTTTTTCCAACCTCTGTTTATTTGTGTTGATGCCCTTTGCCTTTTTCTTCCTGGAATCAGAAGGTTTTGCTGGCCTAAAAAAGGTAAGTGAATCTGGATTTTAATACCTTGTTGGATGCATAGTCTGCAAATATTTTCTCCCATTCTGTAGGTTGTCTTTCCACTCTGTTCATTATTTCCTTTGCTGTCCAGAAGCTTTTTAGTTTGATATAATCCCATTTATTTATTTTTCTTTTGTTGTTTGTGCTTTTGGGGTTATATTCATAAAGTCTTTGCCTAGTCCTATATCCTAAAGTGTTTCCCCTATGTTTTCCTCTAGGAGTTGTATAGTTTCAGGTCTTTTATTTAAGTCTTTAATCCATTTTGAGTTGATTTTGGTATTTGGTGAGAGGTATGGGTCTAGTTTCATTTTTTCTACATGTGGATTTCTGGTTTTCCCAGCACCATTAGTGGAAGAGGCAGTCTTTTCCCCAGTGTATGTTCTTGTTGCCTTTGTCAAAGGTGGGTTCATTTCTGGGTTCCCTATTTTGTTCCATAGATCTCAGTGTCTGTTTTTATGCCAGTAGCATGTTGTTTTGGTTACTATAGCTTTGAGGTATAGTTTGAAGTCAGGGAGTGTTATGCCTCTGTCTTTCTTTTTGCTCAGGATTGCTTTGGCTATTTGGGATCTTTTGTTGTTCCATATGAAAGTTAGGATTATTTTTTCTATTTCTGTGAATAATGTCATTGGTATTTTGATGGTGATTGCATCCAACCCATTTCATTTTGATGGGGATTGATTGTAGACCACTTTGGGTAGTGTGGACATTTTCAAAGTGTTAGTTCTTCCAATCCAAGAGCGTGGAATGTCTTTCCATTTTGTGTCCTCTTTAATTTCTTTTAGCAGTGATTTTTAGTTCTTGTTGTAGAGATCTTTCATCTCCTTGGTTAAATTGATTCCTAGGTATTTCATTTTTTTTGGTGACTATTTTAAATGGGCTTGCTTTCTTGATTTCTTTTTCTGCGAGTTTGTCGTTGGAGTATTAAAGTGCTACTGATTTTCGTGTGTTGATTTTATTTCCTGGAACTTTACTGAAATCGTTTTATTAGCTCTGAGTTTTTTTGGTAGATTCTTCAGGTTTTTCTGTATATAGGATAATGTCATCTGCAGACAGAGACAGTTTGACTGTCTTTTCCAATCTGGATACCCTTTATTTCTTTCTTTTGCTTGATTGCTCTGTCTAGTACTTCTAATACTAGGTTAAATAGGAGTGGTGGTAGTGGACATCCTTGTCTTGTTTCTGTCCTTTGCTGAAAGCTTTTCCCCATTCAGGATGATATTGGCACTGGGTTTGTCATATATGGCTTTTATTGTGTTGGGATACTTTCCTTCTATATCTAATTTGCTAAGAGTCTTTACGATGAAAGGATGTTGAATTTTGTTAAATGCTTTTTCTGCATCTGTTGAGATAATCATATGGTTTTTGTCCTTGATTTGGTTGATGTGGTATATCACATTTATTGACTTGTATATGTTGAACCATCCTTGCATCTCTGTGATGAATCCCACTTGATCATATATAATTTTTTTGATGTGTTGCTGTATTCTGTTTGCTAATATTTTGTTGGTGATTTTTGCATCTATGTTCATCAAAAGGATATTGGCCTGTAGTTTTCTTTTTTTGTTGTATCTTTGTCTGGTTTTGGTATCAGGGTGATGCTGGCCTCGTAGAATGAGTTTGGGAGAATGGTTTCTGTTTCAATTTTTTGGAATAGTTTGAAGATAATTGGTATTAATTCCTCTTTAAAGGTTTGGTAGAGTTCAGTAGTAAAGCCATCTGGTCCTGGGCTTTTCTTTGTTGGGAGACTGCTGATTACTCCTTGAATCTCATTGCTTGTTATTGGTCTGTTCAGGTTTTCTGAGTCTTCTTGGTTCAGTCTTGGTAATTTGTATGTGTTGATAGATTTATCCGTTTCCTCCAGGTTGTCAAATTTGTTGGTGTATAGTTGTTTGTAATAGTCTCTAATGATTCTTTGTATTTCTTTGGTTATTAGTTGTAATGTCTCTTCTTTCATTTCTGATTTTTGTTATTTGGGTCTTCTCTCTTCTTTTTTTAGTTAGCCTTGCTAATGGTTTGTCTATTTTGTTTATCTTCTCAAAAAACCAACTTCTCATTTCATTGATCTTTTGTATTTTTTGGGTTTCAAACAATAGGAAGAAAACAAGTAACCCAACTAAAAAATGGGTAAAGGAGCTGAATGCACATTTCTCAAATAAAGACATACAAATAGCCAACAGACACATGAAAAAATGCTCAACATCACTGTGGAAGGGAAATGCAAATCAAAACCATATTGAGATATCGTCTCACCGCAGACAGAGAATAACAAATGCTGGTGAGGATGTACAGAAAGGGGAACCCTCTTACACTGTTGGTGGGACTGTAAATTAGTGCAGCCATTGGGGAAAACAGTATGGAGGTTTCTCAAACAACTACAGATAGAACTGCCATACGGCTTAGCAATCCCATTGCTGGGTATATACCCAAAGGAATGGAAATGATTATGTTGAAGGAATACTTGCACTCCCATGTTTATTGCAGCTCTATTTACAGTAGCCAAGGGTTAGAATCAACCTAAATGTCCATCGACAGACGACTGGATAAGGAAAATGTGGTATATATACTCAATGGAATACTACTCTTCCATAAAAAAGAATGAAAACCTGCCATTTGCAGTGACATGGATGAGCTTAGAGAAAATTATGTTAAGTGAAATAAGCTAGACACAGAAAGAGAAATACTGCATGTCCTCACTCATAAGTGGGAGCTAGAATAAAGAAAGAAAGAAAAAAAGAAAGAAAGAATGAATCACAATAATACATTAAATGTTCGATTAGAAAAAAGAGAGAACAGAACTGTGGTTATTAGAAGTGGGAAAGGGGGAGGTGGAGGGGAGTTGGTGAGAAACTAGTTAAGGGTCACAAAGATTGATTATGTTTTACAAACGTGAGTATACTAATCCTGATTTGATCACCACATATTGTACACATGTGTTGATATTTGATTGTGTACCCCATAAATATATTTAATCAATTATTTTCAATAAAAAAACTGTCAAAAAAAGGTAAGTAAATCAAGTTTTGGAATTAAATTTGTTAAATGAAGAAGTAAATATTCATGTTGAACTAGAAAAAGTAGGCTTTAACAACCGTTTGAATGGAATATATGAAGTTTGATAATAATATCAACACATTGTTAACAATAATATTAATAGTACTACATGTTGAATTATTTTGCATGTCTACAGAGGGAAGTCATCTTTTAGACCTGTGAATACTTTTGTAGTATGCATAAACTCAGTGACGTATTCTTTTGTGGAATGGATAAACATGATATAATAGCCGTTGTTTCTTTCTTAGTGTATCTCATTTAGTTTCAAACATGACATGAAATTCTAAAAATCATAAAATATATGTTGATGTAAAAGTTATTTCACATTCAACATTTTCAGGATAGCATGGTATAAAATCACACATGCTATTCTCCATTAGTTAGTCAAACTCCCAAGATACTGAGAGTAACTGATCTTGAATGTGGAAGGTGGCAAGAGCATCTTAAAAAGTCAACCACACGTGGTAATAACTTAATCTGTCCTTGAATATAGCATTTTAAAGTAAAAGAAACAAAGTTTGTATTTATAGTCTTTGTAGTTTTTTGCCATAAAGTTTTGGAATATCATGCAAAGATTTAAATAGTTAATACATTTTGAGTGACTTTTAAACTTGATGAAGTGAATTCTAGTCTTACAGTTTAGACACATCATGCCTTTTAAATTTTTAGTTCTATTCATGTTGTGATATATGGAGTGAAATGTGCCGGTGTATATTATTATTAAATAATACTGTAATGCCAGTTAAATACATTTGGCATGGGAAATTGTAAACTGTGTGAATTATTATTACTTTTTATTTCACATGACTTCATATGGGATCTTAGGAATGAAATTATTTAATCTAACACTTTGACAGATCTTCTGATTTTAAACCTATTTATTGAAGGATACAGTGAAAAAAATCACTGTATGGTTAAAGTGTTGTTTCCATGGATTCACGTTCCTGTTCTTTAGCTGTTATTCCATACATTAATCATCTGCAGCTGAAAACAAACAGCTGATTTCATATGTAGTGAATGTACCAAGATGAGAATGGATGATTGTGTTTGGCAGTCAAACCTGGCATTGAGAAAACTGTTTTTTTATGTTGAAATTGTTTTTTATCATGATGTATTCTTAAGACTGGCAATTAAAGTAGTCATCTGTGTAATGTGAAATAATTGTATAGTTTCAGTTTAAAATCTACTTGACTGTTTATAATTTTTTATTTTTTAATTCAACACTGACACTTTATTTTTTGAAGTTTATCATTTTTAGAAAACAAAACAAAAAGGATGCATCAAAAACAGCAAAGAGTTTACAGAATATAGGTTTTATAATTTCTTGAAGAAATTATAGAACATATGATTGCTGAAAGGGATTTAGTTCAAACTCTCCCTTTGTAAGGAGAAAAACTGAGGCCCAGAGATATTAAATGGTATTAAATTGTCTGAGGACCACACGTAAGACCGCAGAACTAGAACCAAAACTCAGGGTTGCTTCTGACCTCCCAAAGTGTTGGTCCTTCCTATATCAGCACTGTGGAGAGCACAGTTAAAGCCAACAAGGAAAGTGGGATGGCTGAGGACAAAATGCAGATGGAGAGTATTAAGAGGACCATGGGATGCTGGCAGAGGAAAGGAGCAAGGAAGAATTCTAAGTGGGTGCTGTCAGGTAGTATGATAAGTGATCTGGAAGTGAAAGGACAAAGGGTTTCTAGGAGAATAGGATATAAGATATTTAGCATTAAAGAGGGGCTGAAGAGAATGAACAGTGAGAAGAAAGGAGGTCATTGGAGACTCTTGAGGCAATTTCGGTAGAATTTTGGAGCCAAAGCTTTTGATGGATATTCATTCATTCAACGAAGTTTTATTAAGTATTTCCTAAGTAATAGTAATTATGCTATTACAGTAGCTTGCTGGGGACACAATGAAAAGACGGGGCTTCTGCC